ATATATATATATATATATATATATATATATATATATATATATATATATATATATATATATATATATATATATATATATATATATATATATATATATATATATATATATATATATATATATATATATATATATATTGTATTTATTGATCATAAATGCAATTTTTGATCAGGATCTACTAAAATGTATTTCGAAGAGCTCCAATGTTGGATCGTGTGCAGCAAAAGGCTGAAATCCCTCTTCAACGTCAATATGTACACAGTTTGGAGTTTCAATTGCTCTATAAATTTCCGGAAATCTCTTTTCTCCTAGTGTTCTGTAAGGTTTAACTCTAGCCACTCCGCCCCATAGTTTGCCATGACCCATTCTATAACTACACAACGTGAAGTATTCGAGTAGAAATTTTTGCAGCGAAACACCATCAACAAAGTCCGGTGGGGTGGTAGCGCGTGTAAATGTCTCATTTACATCAGCTGCTAAAACAGACATAGCATCTCTAGGGATTGTGCGATCAACTAACAGTTTGACTAGTTCATCATCGCCACCAATGTCAATGTTGTTGATAAGCGCTTGTTGTTCAACTCGCTTACATATTGTAGCAATATCATCATTCGCTTTTTGGTTGATATAATCGGAAACACTATTTATGCGCATCACAGTAGGTTCTTTTGACCATTTCCAACCTTCTACGCGCACGTTCTTCCTTGTATTTGGAACGCCATCATCTTCCTCCTCACTATCAGAATGCAGTAAACCCCACTCAGGTTCTTGATATAGCTCCATGGTTGCTTACTTTATACACCTAACAATACCCACCTGTGGTGGGTAGCGATTTCTTTTGGTGGCATACAAATAATAGAAGAATCGCGTTGCCGTTTACCTCTGTGTGCAGAATGACAAATAGCGGCATTACAAAACACAAGATACGTTTTTTGAAGAAAAATAAATATTTCAAAGTGTACCTATAATCGCTGATATCTTATTCGTCTATCATCTTCAGGACTCGCAAAATTTAAAAACTTACTACTCTGAGTAAATTCGAATCCGTATTTTGATGTATTTCGGTCTATTTTTAGTCTCTCAGTCCCTGTACCAGTTTCCCATACAAATATATTTAGTCATTCATTTTTGATAAAAGTCTGATTTTGAAAGCGAGGTACAATCGAGTAAGGCCCAAAATTTTAGTTTATGTATAATTCCCGTATTTTCCGACATTGGTCTACTCTCCAGGATATAAATTGAATTTGATTGGGCAATACTCTATATCTCTCGTTCCAGGCGTGTTCTCCAGGAAATTACCTCTCCAACGACGTAGGACTTGAGGCAAACGGACAATTAGTAACAAAGTTAGGGCATGTATAAAAGAACCCACAAATGACCCTCGATTTATAGAAAATCCTCATCCTTTCGGGGTTAAATTGAAAATAATATGTGGGCCTGGCGGCTGGTGCCCTGGGCCCCTGGCCCAGGACTCCAGGGCCCAGTCCGCCCAGGCCCTTGCTAACAGGGCACAATGCATGATGATGAAATCGGTGAAGTAGAGTAGTTATTTTTATATAGGTCATCTCGGGCAAAACTGATCAAAAGAAACATCTCTCTCTCTCTCTCTACATATTTAAATACTCTGTCCTGTGAGAGAGAGTCAGACTGTCAGTCGTCAGAGAGGTAATCTGTATTTACAGTTTTACACTTTACAGCAGTAAAAGAGTATAATTATATGATGTATTTATAGTTATACATACGCGTGTTTATAAAAATGTACATGTGATTGTAGTGAATATGTGCGTGCAGTACTACTACCTTCAGTACGGCAGTATCAATACTACCTTCAGTACGGCAGTATCAATACTACCTTCAGTCCGGCAGTATCAATATTTTTTAATGAGGTATTACACTATATCTATTTTACATAACGCCGGATGCTTGTCAGCCATCTGTTAGCACGAAAATAAAGTTGGCACGATGTTAAAATCAAACCTAGCCTTAATTTGTTTTTTTAATTCATACATAGAATTTTGAAGACGAGTCTTGTACATGTTGGTGCATAGAATTTTGAAGATGAGATTTCCCTGCCGCCATGGTCTTGTACAGTTGTTTTTGAGTAATTCTACTTTAAATCGATTATTTCACAGTTCAAAATGGCACAAAGCCATTTAAATTCTAAGCTCCATCGTGTTCTGATTCCACTTGACTCGAAAAGTAAAAAATGATTTTATTCATACAATAAATTTGTTCATGCAGTATAGGGCAGTAGTTCGCCCAAATAATAAGACACACTGTGTCGATAGAATAACGATGCCCGGTTTTTCCAAGGGCTAAACGTTGTCGTGACTTTTTTTTCAGAGTACATAGACTAAAGTTCACCACAGCGCTCTCGCCTGATCTCTAACACCTTGAGAAGATCAGCTTCAAATACTTCTTCGTCCAGCCAGTAGTCCACCTTGTATTTCTTGAGTTTGGTACAGCCATGATCCTCGGGACAACTGGTATAGTCTGGTTTGTGTCCATTACTGACCTTGTAAATGATGCCCAAGGGCTCGTCTACACCCTCCTGAAAAGGTGAGGGGTCCATGTAACCCACTTCAGTACCCTTGGTCTCGATCACTATCGAGTTTTTAGCCGAGAAAATGAGATTCTTTAGCTGAGAAGAGTGTGACGCTACCATCAAACCAAAATTACTAAAGACGTTCACATGTGCCGTAGTATCATCCGCACCTGCAACAGTAACATTTTTGTAACTATTGATGCCGTTCCTCTTGAATACTCGATCGATCACATCGTAATTCAGAATGCTCCTCAGACCGGTCCCCTCCGTTCTGCGCAACACGACAGCGTCTAACGGCGGGCAGCCTTCACCAAAGTGCTTCGCTCCTAAATTCTCCACCGCAAATTGCCTAAACTGATCGCCTTGAGCCATATTGTCAAACACGGTTTCGTCATGTAGCACCTCGCCCTCTACTGCCCTCTCAAAGCAAACCATGTGATCCGGGAAATCCTTTTTGCGTTGTATTTGGTCACCCCAGAATGTGTTTTTCTCCCACATCTCACCAAGTATGGTCTCCGTGAACTGTACCGCATGGGGACCCTGGGGAGCAGCCATCTTTGGGAATACGAAGTAATCGATTTTGGGCATGTGCTCAACATCATTGTGCAGATTGAAAAACAAAAGGTCCTTGTTGATCAAATGTCCAATTTGCTCGTTGTCGGTGACGGTATTCGCCCACAAGGTTAATCCTGGTAATACGCGCAACTTCTTTTGTTCTACTTCTTTTTTGGTCCAGAACTGAATATCGCGTCCTGGTTTACTCGCATATTGCCGTATCTTGGTCTGCATAGATTGACACAAGCCAATCTCGACAGCTGTACAGTGCTTCGTGCCGGCATTGCCGAAGCAACAGTCTTTCATATGTGCAGCCTCCACTTCAGTGTCGAAAACGTATGCTAGTTCTGCTCTACCTACACACACTGAACCTACAAAGTTCACCGCACGACCACTGGGCAGCCTAACTGCACCGTACTTCATACCCTCCAGGGGCTCGGGTTTAGGAGTATCAGCCGCTACTAGATCGTTGACCTGGTTGATCGTCTCATCCTCAATGCTATTTAAAATTTCTTCATCTTTATCGAAGGCCAGAGCGCTATCCGCCTTACTGTTACCCGGTTGTACTTGGGCGGTAGCACCAAAATCTACTATATCAATCGAAACATCAGATGTTTCCGTGTATGTTGGTTTAGCTACGAAGTAAAAGATCGCTACAGCACTCACAACGAATACAGCTGCAACCTTTGTTATGAAAAAAAACTTATCATTCTTTTCATTGTTACGTCGTGAGTGAGAGGGAAGTAATCCTGAACTAGTCCGCCTACCGAAAATTAGACTCATTGTCTTTGTATATATACGTACTGATTAGATTCTGTGGTTGTTAACGGTTGTATAGTGCATATATATATATATATGAGATATAATTTTGAAAGAGAAATAGTTATATACTTTTCATCAGTTCATATTCCATACATAGGCGCTATTTTTCAACCACACGTCGAAATTTGACCACCTGTGTTCGGACTCCCGGACTCCCAACTCGCCGAGTAACTGTCCTAATAATCTCTATTACAAAAGGGACAATAGTACTCTATGTAGTAACTCTACTATTTATTTACTTTGACTTTTATTTTCCAACAAATTATTTCACGCTGCGACTGATTGCCCCGGCATCCGGGGGGAAGTGCGAGAAAATAGGCCTTTCTGTGTAAAATATTGGGTTTATGAGTAACGCCCCTAATGCATTTTCAAGCAGTTGTGCAACTTTTGGCCTCAATTTGTCCTCACTCCGAGTCCGCGCCCTCACAGGCTCACGGCAATCCCACACTCTCTAAAAAGGTGCCAAAGCACTGTAAAACAACCAACTTTTTTTGGCTTGAGCCAATAACCAAACAAACCCCATTTCAAACTCCTCAGAAAATCATCGATTCATCGTTGACGGTTGACTGTGGTTGCTGTTCAAGTGTTGAGTAAAAAGGATTCACGGGTGAGTCAGAAATTGATTGTTCATCACCAATTAGATCTTACTCATTGTACAAACTCAAGTACGTGCGCTCTACGAGCAGATATAGAGTCAGAGTTACGTTATACCTGTAAAAATATATGACATTTGACACTGACGCTGATTATACTATCTATACATATATTTCTCATACTATTATTTTTAAAACCCCAAAAATATAAAAATAGAATACAAAGCGAAGGATTTTTTTATAAAGTTCAAAACAAAATGACTGACCCCATTGGCCATTTGAGGCCATTTTGTAAATAAATATATACGTATACATGATGTATAGAAAAATAGGTTTATTCTTTTAATTTTTTTAAAACAATGACTAAATAAAGGTTATCCCATCGTGATTCCTGGGCCCTGGTATTGGGGCTGAGGCCCAGAGCCTTCGGGTCCGATTTAGGGCTAATTGCACTGAGTGCGGAATTGAGTTGCAAAAGAAATGAAAGTTGCAAATGAGGAGTTCGAGGACTGCTTGAGGACTTGAGGTCTGAGACTGAGGTCTGAGACTGTTTGAACTGGCCTTGTCGAGGACCATCTCCCTGCACTTTATGGACTATGCCCTATAAACTTGGTGCATTGGTGCGTATTTAAAATTGTTAATCTGTTCTGGTATGTTGTGCATCCAATCGCTAACGTTATAATGATGACGTATTGATATTTGTCTAATTAAAATATATTCCTTTGAATCTATATTTGAAGCGTCATACTTTTTCCAAATTAGTCGGCCACTATTCACTTTTCAGTATTCACTGTATTCCGAGTTTCAGACTAACATATACATACTCACAATTCACTGAAAAAAAATATTTTGTAAAAAGAATAGTCAAAAAAAAAGAATACTCTATGTATCGAGCAATATTGTCTATTTATTTGGTCTGGACGGCTGGACCGTCTGGAGCGTACTCTGGGGCAAAATTAGCCCTAGTCTTTAGTTCCAGACGACCAGGGTCCGGGTATGTATGCGAGTCTTCCCAGCCCCCAGCAGGTTTCAGATTGAATTTTATCAGTAATTCAGTTCGCCAGTCACGACTCACCAGTCACGACTCGCGACTCACGACTCACCAGTAAGACAACTAGTTATTTCTGTCAGACAAAAACAACAGCCCTACGGCCTACGGTCTACAGCCTACAGCCTACACACTCCTCTCTCTCTCTACTCCAGAGCGAGAGAGTCGAGTCCTACATACACTCCTACTGACCGATCGGCGACCAGCCGACCACCGATAGTGACCAGGCCTCCGAGGCTCTGAGGACCGAGGCCCGACCGCCCGAGAGTCCGGCATATATTCATTATTTACATGTTGTAGAAACCTGTAACAACTATTTATGGTATTTACTATTCTAATATTTATATTTGTTTTATTAAAAAAAACAAATAAAAGCCCTTGTATTTACCTGCTTTCCGCCTTTATTTATCCCGTTGAGCCTGGCCTTGACTGTTTGAAAATTGAAACATTTGCTGCCTCTGGAGCTCTTTGTTTTGTTTTGTTTTGTTTTGTTTTGTTTTGTTTTGTTTTGTTTTGTTTTGTTTTGTTTTGTTTTGTTTTGTTATTTTTGTTCTATTCTCAGAAGGCTATGTGTTTTTCTATTTTAAATTAAACAATACAGAATAAAACAAAACCGGATTTCGTTTTTATAAACATCATGTATTTTATTATATTTCCTCATAACGTTTATTAACGTTTATCGGGTCAATTAAAAATGTAGGAACGTATATAAATAAATGCTACACATATTGGCCTAAAAAAATCGGTCACCGCGACCTATAGATAGTGCACCTACATACTAAATATTTACCGTATATTTAGCCACATATGTAGTGACAAAATGCAGTGTTATCTGTATAGATCAATAAATGAGAGTCTGCGGGCATATGGACAAAATTTGGTGGCATGCTTGACCTAGAATTTAAGCTTGGTAACATGCTTTTAACCTGGAATTTGATCCCTTCTCTTATAAACTGGACTGAACTATAATAATATACGTTCAACGTTCAACATTCAACGGGTAGAATTTAACTTATGAGCGTTTTCCTTTTTTTTAAATTTTATTTATTTACATAGCTTCTGAAAATTGAACAATGAATTATATTGTAAAAAATATATATATAAACCCCCCCTCTCCCCCCACGTGATTTAGAAGCTTTTATTAGACTTTATATTCGCATGTATTCACACGAGCATGTGCATTTTACACACAATTTGGTTTGTTTTTTGGTTTGTTTTGTTTGTTCTGTTTTGTTTTGTTTTTTGTTTTGTTTTGTTTGTTCTGTTTTGTTTTGTTTTATTATTTATTTATATAAAACGATGTTCTATTTTCAGAAGGCTATGAAAACGACAACAAAAACAAATCGTGTGAAGAATGAAGATTTCATTGTGAATTGTGTTGGTCGAACTTGCGACTTGTGTGTGTGACGGTGTGACTGCGTGCGTGTAGTCGTGTGTGCCTGTGTATTTGTGGAATGCTTATGTTACACCCATTTTTTTAAATAGTGGTTATGTAACACCCATTTTCAAAATAGTGGTTATGTAACACCCATTTTCAAAATAGTGGTTAATGTTGGACTGTTGGTGCTACTGCCTATATGGTATTCTTTTATGTACAATAAGGCGTAGATTCGATGTGGCAGTTGGCAGCTAAAACTATTTATAATAATTTGTATCGCTATTGACAGTTAACACGCGGAAGATAAATTTAAAACACAAACTAAAGATTGAGAGAAGAAGATCCATCGCAAGGCCTATTTAATCTGTGACAATCAACCATGACCCTCTCTAGACAGGTCTAGAGAGAGAATCATATTTTACAAAATAAAAGGCTGATTGGACTATTGCCCAAGATGGCTGTGACAGATATTTCTAAACGGTAGTTTCAATATTACGCTACAAATCTACATATGATAGGGTGTTATCTTGAAATATATTCAGCCTGTATTCTGACCATTGCCAATGTATTTCCTTGTACTGATACAAAAGAAAGAGAAAGAAAGTTATCTGTTATGTCCTTTTTTACAATTTATATCCCATTGCGTGATACAATATAATAAACTGAACAAAGTAAAATCAAGTGCTCGTGCAGAGTGATATGCTATTCTATTTTAGCCATCGGATAGACAATGATGCTAACAGTGTACAATAGTCCAGGCCACCTATATCATATATGACATATATGTCACAATTATTGTTGTTTATTAGGTGAATACAATCTCTAGCCTCTCCCTGTTTCAACTAGTAGAGGGTAGAGCTACAGGCAGCCAACAGTAACTAACAGGAGCAATTCAAATATAATATGTAATAAATCAATACACTTCTTGTGAATGATATATTATCATTTATGAATAATATCGCTTATTTATCTGACGACTGTGGTGTTGTCACAATCGGTATCTCCGTGACATAGTCGTTATATGTATTTAAAAACCTCTATGTACATAATATATAAATATATAATAAAATCATCTCTTTTGTATTTTTTGTTACAAAACAAAAGCAAAATGAGATGATGGATTGTGATCTTTGTGACGTACATATATCTCTTGCTCCGGCTTCTAGTTTCTGGAAAAAAAATAGGTTAATATTCTAATCTACGGCAGTTATTTACGGGTTTTACGGCTGGCGACCGATTTTCCGGTGACGGGGGCTTTGGGTTTTGAAATACAAAGCCCGCCTAAATATTTATTGTTCCTTCTTGAGCACGTGTACGTTCACAACTATGGAAACTAGCCAAGCGAGAGAATGTGTGTGCATGAATCAGCGCACCTGTGCACTATGTGAGCATCTGTACGAGTCACGGACGGCACAATTACTTGCCAAGACTAAGAAGGTACGCACCTTTCTCGCATTCATAACCATATCAGAGCATAATTTATAGCCGTCGTTCTTGAAAAATATTTAGAGAGTGAAAAAAAATAGTGTTATGCACATACGTGCACCACACGTTCATACATTCATATATATATATATATATATATATATATATATATATATACTATATATATATATATATATATATATTGTGTGTGTGTGTGT